TAAACATAATGTTTACACTGTGAGCTAACCAGCAGAGAAGAGAGTGGGACTATCATCCCACTTCATTCTAAACAACAAACATCTATTAATGGATTCTTTTGCTTACAGCCACATAAATTTGATGACTCATATTATGCTTGAAATAACTAAAATTCTGATAACCTAGTCACACGTACTGCTAAGCCATTCCTTCACTCATCCTACATTGTTTAATAGCAAATCTTGTAATTCACTAAGAATAACAAAAATTAAATTATGAATGTAAACAAGACAGCCTGGAGAATACAGCCAGGAGACCTAGTAGGGAACAAGCTGTTTTCAAGCATTTCCACAGCAATCTTGAGGTACTATTACTATAAATCCGTAAATACGGATAAATATATAAATATATAAAATATATATAAATATAAAAATTTATAGTAAATAGTATTATTTACTGCTGTATTAGGTGGCTAGATCTTTTGTCTACATATAAAACACACAAATACATACACACGTTCACAGTCTGCTCCTTTTCTGTCCCCTACACTTGTATAAAAACTCTTAAATAAAACAATTCCCTTTTAAGAAAATCTGGTAAGTATACTTTTTGATTCAACTGTATTGATTAAAGTGATATAAATATGGGGGATTTCAAACCACTTTAACTGAGGATTTTATTTTCAAAAGAATTCAGAAACTAAAATGGGAAAAACAAGAAAGAGAGGCATTGACAAGGGATCCTAAAGAAGACATAAGGGAAAATGAAATAGAATAAACCAAAGTCTCAGAGCTAAATATGAGTCAATGACAAAGAGAAAAAAAGCCAAGTTCTGTGCTATGATCAAAAGTAGCAAAATGTTGCTTAAAGGGGTTTGAGAAACATTTAGCTATGGAATAAATAAAGATGTTTTAAAACTCTGTCCATATGCTAAGCACTCAAAATAATCTATATATAATCTGGAAGGTTACATACCAAACTGTCACCACCTCTAAGGACTGTGAATGGGAAAAACAGATGAGCTTTCCTTTCTCTTTTGTACAAAGGTAATTTTTTTAAAAAAATTAAAATATGTACTACTTATGCCATAAAATACACACACAATATTTCTATGGGACTTTGGTTGAAGTCCTACAGGAATCAACTATACTACCACATAAAACTGGCAAACTGGCCAGGTAAGGGATGGAAGAAAACAATCATTTAAACCATCTATCTTAAACTAAGGAGAAAAAGAGCTTGAAATTTTCTACTAAGCCAGAATTGTCAAGAAAAAATGCAGAACATACTCATTATTGCTTTATCTAACATGTCATCTTTAAGATCTTACTTTAGTGATAAAAGTAATATTTGGGGCTTGCATGGCTTTACTTGAACCTTGGTTCCTTTTACTCTCTTCCCATAAGTCTCCCCTTCCCACGCTAAAAGAAAGATTTTTACATTCCTCAAACACATATTTTCTTTATACAGAGATTTACATAAATGTAATGGTAGGAAGAGAACATCTGAATTTAACCAACTCAAAGCACTTAAGCTATTTCACTTGTCTTATAAACACCCTCCCATGGGTGGAGAAGACATTGTTATTCATATTTTACAAGACAAAAAGCTAAGGCTAGAGAGATAAGGCCCCAAACCAATCAACTATCCACAAATACTTGGGATGAAAAGCCAGGTCTTGAGCTCTAATGAAGTCAGAACATAACATCCTGGAGTTAAGTGGCTAAGGCCCTTCTCCTTTAGCCTGCCTTTCTTTGGTGACATACATTTCTGAGATTTTGGCGGTAGCTCCCATTCCGGTAAAATCTAATATAAAAAATTCCAAACTCTTTTAACAGAAAAGTAGGTATTATCTGCATTACAAAGAATTCCACTTCCAGAAAAAAAAAAAAAAAACATAAATCACTACAGATTTCAATTAAAAGTATACATTTGAAAGGTTAAAATGTAAAGGATAAGATTTGTTTTAAGTTCTGTTAAGTTTCAATTTCTTTAAGTTCTGTTTTCCTGGGACCTGAAATTTATGGAGGGGTCAAAACAACTCCCGGAAACACCAGTAAATGTATGTTGAGAAATCTCTCCTGACCATCTGGTCATTCTGTAAAAAACAACCCCTCCCAGAGACCATGCAGCTCAGCACGTACACATCTCAGGGCTTAACCCAACCAGTTCAAATGTATACCCCTTTGTTAGTGCTGACCAATCACCCCTACCCAACTTGTTCCAGCCAGTGAATGTGCTAATCATGTTTCAGAGTTGTTATTTGATTTTCCGATGGTGTGTGATGATTTGCTAAGGGATGCTGTGATGTATGTAAAGTCCCTGCCCTCTCCAAAGAATGTATATAGCTCTGCTTAAGTTGTTCTCGGGGCTCTCTGCTCCATCCAAGTGAGCTCTGGCCCCAGCATGCTGGACCCCCAATAAACCCTCTGCTGTTGCATGAGACAGTCTCTTGGTGGTCTCTGACGCTCGCCTGACCTTAACACATTGTTTCCTTTTACAGTAAAGGTATGACTGAGGCTAGCTAGGGTAAAGTACATACCTAGCATGAACCAGGCCCTGGGTTCAATCCCCAGCACCACAGAAAAGATAAATAAATAAAAGTATGACAACTACGGAAAATGTAATTTATCTACAACCTTCCAAGAATACATTCATTTTATAAAGTTAAATACAAATAACTACATCCATATTATCTCACTGGATTTATATAAAAGTCCTACAAAACAGGCAACTTTAAGGATAAGAAATAAAAACTCAGAAAAGATTCAGTAACCTGGACAAAGCTTCACTGATAGTAACCAATCAAGCAGAAACTAGAACCAACTGGAGTTGGTTCCAGTCTGTTTCCACTTAAATGTGTAGTTTTCATTTACTGATTCAATAACAATTTACCAAATATATACTGCATTAAGCACGGTTCTTGAATGCTGGAGATACAGTAATCATCAAGACAAAAAATATGACTTTATAGTGCTTATACATTAGTAGGAGAAATGGACAATACACAAAACAAATATACAATATGCCAGACTGGCACAGTAGAAGGTGAATAAATTATAAACAACAAGGACAAACAGTAGTAAGAAAGGTAGAAAATACAGGGTGCTATTTTGTATATAGTGGTTAGAAAAGGTTTTCATGAGCTGTTATTTGACCAGAGACCTATGAGAACCAGCTGCGGAGATATCTAGAGGAAGACTGTTCCAAAGAGATGGAACAGATGAAGTACAATTACTAAGTGTTCTGGTTTTGGTATTGGGCATTTAAGCAAGGGGCATTTGACCACTGAGCTCCATCCCCAGCCCTTTTTATTTTCAGACTGGGTCTCACTTAGTTGCTTAGGGCCTCGCTAAGTTGCTAAGACTGATCTTGAACTTAGAATCCTCCTGTCTCAGCCTCTCATTGCAATTACTAAGTTTGAGATGCATCTGAGACATGTGAAAAGGAACATCAAGGAAGCTATCAGGATTATGAATGTGGAATTCAGGTATAGAGCAAAGCTTGAGCTATTTACAGCTAGGAAATCAGATAAGGACACCTTGAAATCAAGTGAAAAGAGAAGGAAAAAACCAAGGACAGAACTCAGGGTCATTTAAATTAGAAGACTGACCTAAGAAGGAGATAAAAACAGAGACTTAGGGTTAGGGTTGTAGTTCAGTGGTAGGGCACTTGCCTAGCACATGTGGGGCACCTGGTTCCATCTTCAGCTCCACGTAAAAATAAATAAATAAAAGTACTTGATGAACCCAGTCTAATTCCATCTTAAGATTGGGAGTCATCTCATTACAAAGTCATGAAAAGTTCTTTTTTACTATAAACAGTACTGTGTCCCTTTACACCTAAAAATAAAAAACAGAGACTAAGAAGGAACAGTCAACAAGGGAAAGGTCAAGAGAGTGCCATTTCAGATGTGAAGTTAAAAAAAAAAAAATCCAGGAAAGACGTGATCAGCCATAACAAGTTCTGTAGAAGGTCAATTAAGACGACTGCTATTTGACTCTAGGATTTAGGAATTTGGATATGGCACTCTGTTTTAAAAAAAAAAAAAGGAACACAAATTCTTTGACATGGGACTCTATAATGCCACCCTTGAGTTTGGGCTTAGATTTGTGAATTGCTTTGCTAATAGAACTCCAGCAAACATACACAACATCAGGTTTGCAAAGTGCTTGTACACTGGGGCTTCCCTCTCTTTGGCTACTTGGAACTCTTTTTCCATTATGAGAATAAATATGCTGGAGATGAAACGAATGGTCATTGCCCCAGCTGTTATCACATCACAAGACACTAAGGATGTCATTCTAACCAAGAAAGCCAGCCAGGTCAGCCCAACTAGAACCAATCCACAGAATTAAAGACAAATAAGATGGTTTTAATTCTAAACCACCAGGTTTTGGGGTTGATTGTTACAAAGCAAAAGCTAATTGATAAAGGAGAGGATATTGTTAATAGGTAAGAGCTATTTCAATCAAGTAGTAGGCATGGAAAGCTGACTAGAGTTTTGATTAAAATGAATGGATAGAAAGGAATATGAGACCTTGGAATTACATCAGCTTAGCTTTTGAGGCTTCTCTGTTACACTGTTTACTAGAAGTTTCCTACTTTCTTTCAAAGTACCTAGAAATAGGAATGGTAGAACAGTGACAAACTCCTTTTACTGAAAAGCTTTCTTTGGTGCTTCCAGTTATACCCAACCCAGGCACACCTCCACACAAAACATACAGAGGATAGAGGAGTAGGGGAACTATATACTCCACTGTTTCATTGACCTCACATTTTACCAATAAATTACACCCTATATTCACACCACCAGTCACTGAAGAGTGCAGGTACACAGACAAAAATTTCTCTTTACAAGACACATAACCATCTCTTTTGACAAGCCTTGGTGTGCTCATTCTTTTCATCTTCCAAGTAAATTCTCTATCTGACCAAAAACTATAATCATAAACAAAACATCTGTAAAATTTTTTAAAAAACAACTTTTTAAAATGTTAGTAATATATAAATAACTTACTTGGCAATCCGCAGTTTCCCAACTTCACCTCTTCCAGGGGCTTTAGCCCATTGCTGTGACAAATATTTAGGAACCTAAAATGAAGTGAAACATTTTACAGGTGATGAGAATGGGGTACCCCAGGATTATATAACTTATTTAAATAATTAGTAAATGATAGAGCCAGGATTCGGATCTAGGCAGCATAGCTCCAGGATCTGCATTCTTCACCCAATACATTATACTGTGTCTATAACTGTACTCATGCAATTAGAAGGAACTTAATTTTAATAAAGAAAAATGAAATAAAATGCTGAATGTCTATTATATATCTAATCTTGAATCTTTTAAGAAGTAGTATGGACTCTGGAATCATTACATACCTTTAAGGTTATCCTATTATGAGGAGTAAAAAAGATACTATATGTAAAGTTTAAAGTACAATGCCTTATGTGACACAAGTAATCAAAGAATGTTATGTGTCATTATTTCTCACAATAATCTTGGAATGATAACATGAACATGAATGCATAATTGAGCCAGAGGCAGATGCCAAAACTGGGGGGAAGGGGGGATCTATGTGGCAATATTTCATTTAAAAAATTTTTTTAAAAGGAAAAGAAAAAAATGCTTGACTATTAAATAAATTACAGTACCTTGAATATAGTAAAAATTCAAAAACAGAAGGGTAAAAAGAAGAGCCTGATTGTATTTGTTCAATTATGTATGCATTCTTTACACTAGAACGTATTGAATTACTGTTGTGTATCAAACAATATACCAGAGGTTGGGAAAAGAGGAAGGAGGAAGGGAGTCAAACAGCATCAAGGATCATGCCAGACATTTCATATTCACTATCACATTTAATCCTTCCAATTAACTATAAAATCATCATCATTCTCCTCATTCTACAGATAAAAACTGAATCTAAGAAGGTTGAAACAATATAGTTAGCTAGTATCAGACATAAGGCTTGTTTCTAGTTTGATCTGATATTCTCTTACTGCCCCACACTGCCTTCCCTAGGGGTATCAACAATAAGAAAAGTATGTAAAAAAAAAACTAGAGGAAAAAGGACTTTGAAGATTCTATTATCTTAACATGTCAGCTTCACTGCATACTACTCAAACAAGCTTAAAGGATTTGGCAAAAGCCTTATGGTAATTGTATCTATCCATTAGGTATCCTTTGATCATGGGTGAAAAGAAAATCTACTTATAGAGTATTTATTGGCCCAAGACAACCAGCATTAAGGTCACTTGATTAAGGGCTCAAATATTATCATGAGGACTCTTTCACTGTCTTTCAACTCTTTTCCTCTCCACCCACGTTGACTCAATTCTCAAGATGGCTGAAGTAATTCCAAAACAGCAAAAGTCTCCTTCCCAAGTGGCAATTACTTCCTTGGGTATATTTTCACAGGCTAGCCAGAGTTGATGACATCTTTAGAAAAGGGCAGTAAACATCTTTAGAATCACAAAAATTGAAAACAGGGAGTACTAGTCACCATAAGGAAAATCCAGGTGCTATTACTATGTCAAGGTAAGTAGATGCTGATTAGTAAACTATAGGTGGTGCTGGAAAAACTGGGTATGCAGGTGTGGAAGAATGAATTGATATGTAAAGTCCAAAACAATGTGACTACTAGAATAAAACAGAGGGAAACACTATAAGACACTGGAATGGGTAAGGATTTTTTTAAAAAGAAAACAAATGGAAATACAGGAAAACAGAAACATGTCAATCTAAAAAGCTTCTATACAGCAAAGAAAACAATCAACAGAGTGAAGAAATGGTAGAATGGTGGGGAGGGACTGCAAACCATACATCTAACAAGAAAAGATGAGAAACTTAAAAAAAATCCTAAATAGCAAAGAAATCTAATTGTAAATTTGGTAGTAGAGCTAAGTAGATATTTCTCAAAACCAGATTTATAAATGGACAACCAGTATATGAAAAAAAATGCTCAATAGCACTAATCATCAGGGAAATGCAAATCAAAACAATGAGATATCACCTTACTTTAGTAAGAATGGTTATAAACAAAAAGACAAAAGAGTTTGAAGATGTTGTGAAAAAGGAACCCTTGCACACTGCTGACAGGAATGTAAGTTAATACAGTCATTACAGAAAACAACACAGAAATTTCTCAAAACATTAAAAACAAAACTACCAAATATATGATCCATCAATCCCACTCCTGGGTATATATCCAAAAGATATGAAAGCAGTATGTCAAAAGAAACATCTTTACTCCCATATTTACTGCAGCAGTATTCAAAATAGCCAAAAAATGAAATTAACCTAAGAGCCCAGCAATTAATGAATGGTTAAAGAAAATGTGGTACACACACACAATGGAATATACTCAGGTATAAAAATGAATGTGACAACCTGGATAGAACTGGAAATCATTTTGTTAATAAACTAGGCAAAGACAGAAAAGTACTGCATGATGTTATTTATATGTGAAATATTGTAAAAGTTGATCTGATAAAAATTGAGAGAATAGAGGTTACCAGAGGCTGTCAAGAGCAGGAGAGGTGGATGAGGAAAGTTCAACTTCGGATGAGGAAAGGTACTCATTCTCAGTTACAAGTCAGAAGTTAGTTCTAGTATGCTATTTGAAGAGTGGAGTGGCTACAGATATCAATTGTGTACAGTATTATTTCAAAAAAGAAGAAAGGATTTTGAATGTTTTCACCATGAAGAAGTAATAAATGAGAAGACAGATATGTTTAACTGATTACACAATGTACACATGTACTGAAACGTATGGTACTGTATAATATCTATAATCTTTGTTTTTATGTATTTGCTTAAAATTTTAATAAAAAATAAATGAGGATACAAAAAAGATGAGGAAGCAAATGTTCACAACTAAATACAAGATCTATACAAGTACTGTTCAAAGTCAAATAAAATCTTTAAATTCTTGGACTATATAAATTATTACCTTATGGCCTCAAATCTTGACATACTACCTCACAAGTAAGTTCTTGCTTCTTACTTTGTCTTTGATTTTTAACTCCAGCGAACCTTCACACTAATTACTCCAATGCAAAAGGAAAACTGCCTTCTCTAGAAGCAGTCCACTCTACTAATCACAAGCCATATTCCCTAGTAAAGACATCAGGGATAAGATGGTGTCTTTTCTTTATCATATTCCTGGGCAATGGTTCAAATAAACCCTATTTCCAGATACCTAAGGCCTTCCATAATCTGCATTTCAAGTCTCCCTTCCTTATCCTGTATTTCAAGCAACCAATCTGATCATGATCTCCTAACTTCTCAGCTCTTTCCTCAGTACTTTGTGTCCAATAATTCTTCCATCTTTTCAATTCATTAACATCTTCTCACTGTTCCCCATCTGCTTAAGCCTCACTTCCCCCTCTTTAAGGGGCCTAGATTTCACGGCCAATCATTATAATTATAAACATTTCCTTCCATGCTCCCTCCACCAAATACCCTGGCAGAACCTTAATCCTTATTAAAGCCTTATCATCTTTCCACATTTGCATCTGAGCAGCTGAAGAAACATAATCCTGCTAACTGGTCTCACTTTAAATACATGACATTAATCCCTGGGTGATGTCTGGCAAATTAAACTCATCTCCCTAGTCAATTCACTCCCAAACTCCAGATGATTCCAAAGTTCACTTCTTAAATCTACAACACCTCTTTCTTTCCCCTCCCTCCATGCTGATAATCTAACTTCCTCTTCCACAAAGGAAAGACAAGAAAACAGCTGAGTCTACCATTTAGCCACAGGTATTTTTATGCTGCTTTCCCCATTTTAAAACAACAGATGAACTATGGCCAATCCCTCTACTTGTGCACATCCATCTCTCTTCCCATTGTCTAATCAAGGACATCTTTCCTTCAATTCTACCTTTTCATTTCCATCAGAATAATGATAGCAGCTAACAGTACATACTAAATGTGGCAGAAAGACTGTAAGATGGCCCACAATATGCGAGCTGTGCTGATATCATACACTTGTGTAATCCATTTCTAAATGTGGCAGAAAGACTATGTTAGTTCACAATGACTCCCCTGTGCTGATATCACACACTTGTGTAATCCATTTTCCTTATAGACCTGAAACACATGGCAAAGGATGGGATGTCATTTCTCTGACTGGGTTACATTACAACTGTGCTTTCTGTCTTGCTTCTCTCACTGTTTTCTCACTTTGCATGCCTTGATTATGCAAGCTGCCCTGTTGGAGAGGTCCACATGGCAGGGGGAAAAAAAAAAAACAACAACTAGGAGCAGGCTCTAGCCAAATGCAAGCTAAGAATTATGACTCTAGGCCCAACAACCCAGAGGTGGTTGTTCATGTGGCCAACAGCTACATGAACTTGGAAAGATCCTTCTCTAGTCAAGACTTCATGTGAGAATATGGCAATGGCTAACACTTTGTATCTGTCAGAGACTGCGAAGCAGAAGACCAAACTAAGAGCATGTCAGGACTCCTGATCCACACAAACTGTGAAATAACTAATATGTGTTTAAAACTATGAAATGTATGGTGATAAGTTACACAGCAGTAGATAACTAATACATTAAATGACAAGCACTCTTCTAAATGCTTTTAAATGTATTAACTATTTAATACATAATCCTATTATTTTTTCCATTTTATAAGCTAGGAAACTGAGGAACAGAAAGATTAACTAATTGCTCAAAATCACACACCTACTAAGGGAAGACTTGACAATCCTTTTCACCCACTGTCCCATTTCTCTGCCCCTCTTATATCAAAACTCATTGAGAAAATTCTTCATGTTGGCCATCTGTACCTACTTCTCCTAAGCTGCTTTGGCAACTCTATTTCATCAAATAGCTAGTTCCCCCAACTACTACTCATCAAAGTCTTATTTCTCCCAGAGTAAAACCAATTTAGGGGCACTGTAGTGGACACTGCAACTTGACATCCATATTTAGCACATCCCTTTAGCACTGAAGGCCTATTCCCCCAACTACTGGGAATGTGCCCAGCAGATAGCTCTTTATTGTTAGCATTTTTAAAATAGTCTGCCCTGGCATTTCTTGTAGAAATAGAGAAAGTAATCATGAAATTCATATGGAA